ATTTGAGCCCCAAGAAGACCCAGAGATGACAGTCTGAAGGCAAGAAAAAGCTAATATCCCAGTTTGAAGGCAATTAGGCAGGAAGAATCTCCCTGGATTCTTCGGAGAGAAGGGCCTTTTGTTCTATTCAGACCTTCAACTGGTTGGATAAGGCCCACCTGCATTAGGGAGGGCAACTGGCTTTACTCAGTCTACCCTTTTAACTGTTAATATGATCCAATAAACACCCTCACAGAAATACCCAGAATAATGTTTAACCAAATATCTGGGTATTGCATGGCCCAAACTTACACATAAATTAACCATCACGCCCCTTCCGAGGGAAGATTTCAGTAGACATGAGGCTGGAGTGCTGTCTCCCACGGCTCCAACTCCAAGTGGCAGCGCTGAAGGGATCAAGGGCTTTACGGCCCCAGCCGGGTGTCCAGCATGTGCATCTCCGACCTGGCCACAAGGTGGCGCCAGTGAGGTGCCATGCTGGTTCACAGAGACTGGTTCCAATCCAGCCCTGACCACCTTGGGTGTTCTAAAGGTGACACAAAGCACAGGCTCAAACAATAACTACTGTTAGGTCTCCTTTCCCTTTCCAGCGGGCGGGAAAGAAGGTGCTCCCCCTCGGGAGCTGGGGCTGGTTTTCACACTCTGGGTTGTCAGATCACGGGGGCACGGCAGGTAGACTGGCCATGCAAAAGGGAAGGCAGACAAGGCCTTCACATCCAACTTCCTGGAAACCCCGAGGCTCTACAGATGGAGCTGGAGGGTCCTGCTCTCTGCAGCCAGGCCTCTGGCCCCTCACTGGTCCCCAGAAAGAGCCCAGAGACATAAGACTTCTCCTCCTTCACGTCTCACTATGACACAGAGTGGCTGGGGATGGTGCACGGAGCCTTGGAAATTGCAGTATCCAAGGACTCATGATTGTTTCTGCATTGCTGTCAAAACTGGTCCCTGGTGATCAAGTTCTTAAACACAAAGGCAAGGTTAGTGTTCTATCTGAAGAAAGAGAAAGGACGGGTCATGGGCAGCATGCGGCAGGGGCAGAGCTTTAGCGGGACTGGCCACACACTTTCTCCTGGAGATCGGCAGGGAGCCTCGCTGCCAGCTGCCACCTGCCACCAGCTAGTTTGCTCTGTTTTGCTGTCCTGGGCGCCAACACAAAGCACAGGCTCAAGCAATAACTACGATAGGGTGCATCCCCCCCGGCACAGACCCCAGCTGGCCGCTGCCCAGTGATTTGGGTGAAAACAGGAAACCCAGGTCCCAGCTAACCCGTATAAGAAGCCCTAACTAAAAACAACCAACAAATCTTTTGACTGTAAAATAAAATAGATAAAGAAGAGCACAGAAGTCGGATCAATGACTCCGTGAACTAGAAATGCCACGTGCCCCCACGTACCGTGTGCTTACAGCGAGGAAGGGTATTTTAAGGCCGCAATCTGGGTGCTTGGCATTCTCAGTGTTACTGGGCTGGTCACTGTTTCCACGCAGGCACACGAGTACGTGTGTATGCACACACACATACCTGTATATTACAGACTGAGGCTCTTAGAATAACCATGACAATACTGCCACCGATAGGATTACTAAAAGCTCCATCTTTGGCATATGCCCGCCCCATCCTCCCATTTTAATGTGTCTGATGTGGGCATTGTCAGAGACACACGTGCCACACTCTGTGCAATCTTGGGCCTCGCTTCTAAGGCAGAGCAGCCCTACCGTCCAGCCCAGCTCCCGTCTCTGCCCTTGCTGGCGGCTGAGGCTCACCCTACTGGGAACCCCTCGGGACGGCTGCGCCACGTCATTCCCGGCTGGCTGCAGACACTGCCGTGGGCCTCCTTTATACCAAAAGGCAGTGTGGCTGGATGTACATTCTTAAGCTCACTCTTTCCTTCAATTTTCCCTTAATTAAACCATTTTTTCTCTGCGTACAGCTCAGCCTTTGAGAAGCCTGATTTCCCCACTAGACACCTCAAGGATTTCTTTTTCTTTTAAAGTCCAGCCCTTTCACTGACAGGCTTCTCAGGTACTCGGCCTCCCATGACCACCATGTGCTTCGTCACCTTTATCTTCATACGTGTTACTTTTTACATCTTTTCACCTTTTTCCATCCTTTCAGATTTATGACTTTCCTCTTTCGCACCTTCCATTTCTCCTAAAGGACCGTCTCACTTTTTGTTCCTTCTAATTTGGTTTTATTTCTGAAATGATCTTTTCATTTCTAATTCTCTGTCCCATTTCTGAGCTTTTCTAATTCACGCTTTTCTTTCATGTCATGTTTTCGAAATGTCTTTTAGTTCACTAAAAACCAAACCAGGTGCGTGTGTTTTGCAGGCACGCCTTTCTGCTTGGGCCGTAGGGCGCCGTTCTGCTCCTTACCCTCAAGCTTTTATGGACTTTGACTCTTTACTGATGCTCCTTTTCATGTAAAAGTATTTCACAAACTTTCAGAATGAAGTAGCCTTCAAGAAAGCTTTTCTAATTCTACCGACTTCCCTCTTCTGCTGTTCTTTGAAATGTTTTAAAAATGGGTCCACTTGCTTCCCAAGCTTTCTGGCTCCTGTTCTCCCCTGCTTTGGCCTGGGTCCTTTCCTGTCACTGCCCTGTGCAATTTTAATTCCACTCCTGGCAGTTTTTTCTCAGTGTGGGGTCGCTCCCTGGAAAGGAGCCCCACTCCTGAAGACCCCCCGGCGTGCCGGCCCAGCCCACCTGCTGTGCTCCCCTCTGGGCTGCCACCACCCTGCTCCCCGGCTCCATCAGACTCCCACTGTTCAACACGTAGGTCTTGTGACTATGACTGGTTTGTGCCTCTATTTGGGACTTACAGGGACAGGACACCTTATTGCCTTGTTTGCTGTAAAAGATGTCCACAGGGATTTTTGGTGGCAGGTAGTATATAGTAAATTTTGCCATTTTAACCACTCTTTTTTTTTTAAGTATAGTTGATACACAATATTTTGGTTGCAAATGTACAACAGAGATTCAGCACATACATTATGAAATGCTCGCCATAGTGAGTGCAGTTCCCACTGTCACAGTTATTACAGTATCAGTGACGATATTCCCTCTGCTGCACTTTTCATTCTTGTGGCTTATCTATTTTATAACTAGAAGCTCATACCTTTTGGTCCCCTATTCCCCTCAACCATTCCACCTGTTCACCCATCTGTTTTCCTGTGGTGACCACCAGTTTGTTTTTCTCTGTATTTATGAATCTTTTTTTTTTATTCCACATGTAAGTGAAATCATATGGTATTTGTCATTCTCTGCCTGGTTTATTTCACTCAGCATAATACCCTCTAGGTCCATCCGTCTTGTTGGAAATGGCAAGATTTCATTTTCTTTTATGGCGGAGTAACATTCCATTGTGTGTATGTGCCATATCGTTACCCATTCATCTACCAGTGGACACTGAGGTTGTTTCCCTATCTTAGCTACTATAAATAATGCTGCAATAAACATACAGGGGCATCTATCTTTTCAAGTAGTGATTTTGTTTTCTTCAAGTGAATACCCAGCATTACTGGGTCATATGGTATTTCTATTTCTAATCTGGGGGGACCTCCACAATTTTCCAGAGTGGCTGCACCTGCCACTTCACATTCTCCCCAGTGCACGAGGGTTCCCTTTTCTCCGCATCCTCACCAAAACCTGTTATTGCTTGTTTCTCTGACACTAGCCATCCTGAGTGGCGTGAGGTGGTATCTTGTGGTTTTGATTTGCATGTCCCTAGTGATTAGTGATGTGGAGCATCTTTTCATGAGTCTGTCAGACATCTGTGTCTTCTTTGGAAAAATGTCTCTTCAGGTCCTCTGCCCATTTTAAATCAGATTATTTGGGGGTTTTGGTGTTAAGCTGCATTTTAACCATTTTTAAGCCCATAACTTACATGTCCGAAGGTCTGTTTTAAAATCTAGTTGCTGGCTTTAAGTGTGGATCCCCCTACCATCTCCCTAGAATCCCCTGCTTTCCGAAGCCCTAACTTTTCAAACAAAATTAATTCACGAGTTTGCTTCACGACATTTTAACAAGAACGGCTCTGCCGTGATGCAAGGGCTGCAGGGCCCCACGAGTTCAGGCGCCGTCAACGTCAGGCAGAGACCTAGTTAGGCTGAGGGAATGACGGGTCTGGTGGCCCAATGTAGCAACACGGTGACTACCGTTTAGGACACTGCATTTGACTGCAGCACTGAGAGTCAGGGGATGACAGCAGGTCACAACCCTCACCTATTTTTTGTCGTACCTCTGGCTTCCACCGTGGGAATCTGATGCTGAATTAAAGGCTTGGTGAAGCAGGCCTACCTGGATAGCAGGCACACTGGAGCATGGAGGGATTCGTGGGAAAACCGTCCCCGTCCTTTGGGAAGAAGCTGGTTAAGTCACCAACACATCATTTTGGTGCTGCCGAGGTAGGAACGCAGCACGTGACTTCTCCTGCTGGGGGCACAGTCAGGCATCACCTGCTCCCCACCCCACATCCCAGCCCATCCCCTTGGCCAGCTCCCATCCAAGGCAGACGCCAGTAGGAAAGGGGTGACCTCACAGTACACTCCTCCACTTGGCACAGAGGCAGTGAGCTCCTGGGCCACGCCACCCCTGCACACCCAACTGGCAGGAGCCAGGGGTAAGGTGGCCCAGGTTTCTGACGTTGCATGCCTGTCTGTTTTATCTTCTCTGAGGCCACCTGATTAAAGGATCCACTGGATTACTAAAGAAGCATCCCCATCAGGCATCATGCCATCAATCAATCGGATTTCATGGAGTTTGAGAAAAACTGTCTTCTATGGAAGCAAGGATTCCAAATACCGAGTCTCACTTCTGTACCAGCAGTTTGCAACTGCAATCTGGCTCTGGAGGTGGTCCACGCTCCTGCAAAGTGGTCCCGGATGCCCCAGGCACTGCTCTGGAGCACTCTGACCCCGGAATCTCCTTCTTCAATCTCTAATGTCTCCTAAGAATGTCAAACTCTTTGAGAGAAACTGTCATTTCACAATAAGAAAAAGACATTCTTTTCTTTAAACAGTTCACATTTATTATTGATAACAATAAAAAAATCTTTTAAAGACTATCAGTATTGTATTACCAAGAGTGAGGTAATATGTTTACAAAACATTTACAGAGTTTTATATGTAAATAATGAATTTAGGAAGGAAAAGTGAATTAAGACACTAGTAATAGAAAGGGAAGCAAAAGAGCTACGAATGCTGAGGGGGGAGAAATGACAGCAGCACTTTAAAGAGTGCGGGGCACTGAGAGTGGAGACCTGACACAGACCACAGGCCCCCAAGGAGGGGAGCTGCTCTCAGGAGTAAACCCTGTGCGTGTTTGTGCAGGCATGTGCTTTGAACTCTTAAAGATGCATTCAACCCTTTGGGGACACAACGGTGCCACTTCTCAATCAACTTTAAAAGAATACATCTTCAAATGGGGGGTAGGGGTGGCTGCAGTTCAAATAGTTTTACAAACATCCCTGGGCTGCTGTGGGCTGTTGAGTGAAGCATTTTCCTGGCGGCTGTCAGTAAAATCGCCATCTGAGACAGAGAAAGAAAGAAAGAGAAAGAAGGGACCGTCTTTGGGTCCTGATAGTTGGGAAGCAGGAAGCACTGGCTGGAAGCAGTACAGACACACTAAGGAGCCACTGTGCTTTCTGGAAACAGTCTGTAGATGTCAATGATGAGCTTATCTTTTGAAAGTATATGCTTAGCTTTGCCCCAGGAAGGCCAGCAGGCATGGAGAAGCCCAAAAAGTCTCCAGGGCACAGGCAGCCACTGGAGCTTCACTGGCGGCATGTCCCCCAGGGGCACACACGCCCTCCACAGTTCTCCAGCCACACAGCGCCCACCTGATGCCTTCAGAGCCAAATTAAAATATCGTGCCCCTAGGTTTACCTGCCTACCACACACTCCACTGATGGCCCTGTGGGTTTGGCACTCATCTTTAAAAGCACAGCCTCGGCTACACACCACACATACCCATCTTTATCCTGGAGACTAACCCGGGGCAACCTCTGGACAGGTACACAAATAACCTGCTTTTCCCACAAAAAGCTGAAAAAAACGAGGGCTGACACAGGCAGACCAGGATTCATAAGTGGGAATCAAAAGGAAAAATTTAAGAGTAAAACCAATCTCATATTCTGATTTGCTTCCAGGAAGAATCCTTGTTATTTGCAGATTCCTGTTAATTTGCTCCCTCTTGCCCCTCCCCCTGCACCCACACTGCCATGCACCCACCCACGTGCACCCCCGCACCCCCAGGTTACAATTCCCTTTTACAAAGAAGCAGGGTTCTGACAAGCCACACGCTATCCCCATGTACCCATGTGGCAAGAATGTTGGTTTGCTAAAATGAACAATGGACGGTTTTCAAACGGCAAACGGGCTTTACTCTGCCTTCCAGATGCCGTCTAGAGGCGAGAAGGACCATCAAGGCTCCGACACTATTGAGTAAACTGAGGAGCCCAGGAATCTAGAATGAGTTCAGAACTAACACCCGCAGGTAGGAAGAGCAACATACCAGAAAGAAAAGGGAAAGAATCTCCCTCACCCAAATTCACATACAGAAAAATCCTGCTCTGAAAGTATGAAAAAGATTTGAAAAGGAGGAAAGAGAAAATAATGTTTAATGATGGCGGTGTTTCTCCTGGAGTCCCGGGGAAGCCCAGAGAGTCCCACCAGCACCCACGTTACAGCGGTGGGTCCATCCGGCCCTCGGGCGCCAGGCTGGTGCTCCCAGACGGCCTCTGAGTCCTTCCAGTTTAAGCGGCGCCTGCTCAGAGGCAAAGGTACCTAGCAGGCTGCCCCTGTCCACGGGCCCAGGTGGCTGACAGCAGGGAGAAGGTGAGGACTGTGGTGCAGTTAGGGGAACGGCTGGCAGCTTCTGCTCCACGTCGGGAGGTGCGTCACCTCTGAAGGGTGGTGTAGGAATTCATCCACTAGAGGACAGTGTGGAGGTTGCTGGAAACATTTTTTGCATCGCCATTTGGGACAGTCAACCTCTTAATTGGCATAAAAACTACTTTTTTTTCAAGAGAGCCCTTGTGCTCTGGTTTGATTTTGTGCACACTGTATACAAAATCTATGGCTACTGAGTGAGAGTCAGAGTTAAAACTACCTGCCAAAATAGTCGGGGACCGGGACTACAGTGACCATCTGGAGAGCTACGTGCTACCTAGGTGAGCGGAGCCTGCAGTGTGCTGCGGGGCAGGCGGCAGAGCGCGGCGGCCTGTCCGAGGCAGCACGCAGTCCCCTCCACACACTGGGCACGGGTGTCGCGGCACTACCTGGAAATCATGGAGCTGGAGTGAGACTGGCTAGAGGAGGTGGTGGCGGCGCTCAGCTGGGAGAACCCGCTGTGGCTGGACTCCAGGCTGGTCATGGAACCTCTGCAAACAGCACAGGGAGGGGACGAGGCGTGAGGACCCCTCCATGGGCCCCCGCACATCCCACACTGCCTGCCGGGCTTCCTGCCAACCCTGCTCTCTGCTCCCTGCCTCAGCCCCCAGCAGCACTTAAAAAGTAGGATGACCGGGCAGACCCCCCAGCCTAGGACATGGCTCCCAGCTGCCCTCACACACAGCTAATGTAGTGAACTGAACCATAAATGGCCCCGAGGCCACTCCTGCCCGTACCCAAGACTGGCGGGACCTGCCAAGCCTCCCCCAGCCATGCAGCACCCTGGCCACACCTGAAGTCTTCAGAGCCGATCACCTCTGTGTAGTACATCACTTTACACTTGTGTGAAGAGACCTGCAGGGAAGCCAGCACATCATCCACCCGGGGCAGGTTGGTGGCAGCACATGCTGGCATACTGTGGAATTTCCACTGCAGGATGTAGAAGCCTGGCCACCGTGTCACGTGTGAGCCCTGCAACACATCAAGCAGTGCCAGCTGAGGACTTCCTCCCAAAAGTCCCTGTCTTCCGGCGGGTGTGACAGATGCCCAGGGGAGCCCACTCGGAGCTGGCAGTGACCACCAGCCAGCTCGGGGGTGAAGGGCTTTGGCTCATCATCAGGACCCTGTGGTGAGGCCTCTGCCCAGTGATGAGAGAGCACGTCACCTGACCACCCCAAGGACTGCAGCCTTGTGGGGAGGAGCAGGCACCTGGTGGGTAGCAAGTGCTCAGGGCCCTTCACTCGGCCTGAAGGGGAGGTCACAAACGATCACGTGGACGAGGCCATGCTCTAACACGCTTCCAATGTTATGGGTTAAAGGATGTCTATCTGAAGTAGAGGTCAATCTCTGAAAATTACTTTCTCCATTAATTCTGGAATTAAAGGCTGTGATTCAGCTTAAAATGTTCATTATTTTTAAAACTGAATAAAACACCCTCTTTTTCTCTACCTCTAATACCACCAAAGCATTGACAGTCTTACCCCTGAAAACTGTAAAGGCAGCAAAATTATGCAAAATTATGCATCTGTTATGAGGCTAGAAGCACCCGAGAGCTGCCATTCTCGGCTCAAGCACTTAAGGTGATAGGTCAAATGTCAAAGTGAGCGGACAGAGCCTTTCTGGGTGAGTGAGACCGTTCAGCAGTGGCAGCAAACAGGCCCTAAGCACTTGCTCCTCTGGCTCCTCTTGGGTGCTTCTCCTCTGCCTGAGACACATAGAGCAGCCACAGGGTGCCTCTGGGTGCGGCCCTTTGCACGAGGCCTTTTCCTGCCTTCCAGCCACTTCTGTGAAAGTACCTTTACATGCACTTTAGATGTAAGTCGTGGATTCTGCCCAGAACCATGCTCAGATTTGAGTTCTCCTCTGGGACCTACTTGGCATCCCAGTCATTCCAACAATAACTAAAGGAGGATACAAGGAACTGCTTGTCCAGACACCTAGCGCCTGCCAGGCAAAAATCTTGCTTCCGGAGAGTCATAGGTGCTTTTACCTGCACGCTCTCCCCTTCTCTGCAGATCAGAGGTGATTCCACCGAGCTGTAGTCGCGGCCCAGCTGCCAGACCCTGTCTATTAGCTGCACATTATTCCCTCCTGGGGACGTGATGCTGTGTGCCCCCAGGGAGTCCTTTTTGGGTGGCTGTGGTGACCTCTTGGAGTGATAGATGTTGAAGACAATGTCTCCTTTGCACACGTCAAAGTCCCAAGTGATCACGGAAGAGGCATCCACAATCTGAATGAGAATCTGGAAGAAGACACTCTGTCAGCCAACCGAGGTAAGCATGAGGCCCCATGCAATGTGCCGGGAGCACCGACCCCTTGAGGGGCTTCCAGCCCTGCTGTGTGTGCTGCGCGGAGGGAGACATGTCCCATCAGCAGAGCGCTCAACCAGCAGGTGCCCCGCTCACTCTTCTTGTTCTTTCAAGCAATGGCTCCTGCTATGTGTCCTGTGCTGAGCTCCGGGCTCTTCCTTAGCTACACCGACAGTCCAAAGTTTCCCACTACATGCTGCTGAGACAGCACTCCGAACTACCTGGCCCTGGATGTAAAAAATGTCTTAATACGAAACAGACACAGCTGAAGATGGTGCGAAGGGGCTCCACGGATTGCTCTGGGCCGGCGAGCACAGGGAAGGGCCCAGAGAAGGTGGAAGCGAAATGAAGAGCACCTGGAGGAGCAGAGCGCAGAGGCAGCCTTTGCAGCGGCTCACACAGGGAGAGTGGCAGCTGGGGCCGGGTGGGAGGACAGGAGCCACACGGCGTGGGGGCCGGGGGAAGCGTGCGGGGTACTGAGTGCCAACCTAAATCTGGACTTTCTGTGGTGTCCCTCTGAAGTTTCCCAGCAGAGAATGATCAAAGTTACAGAGTTTCAGAAGATTACTGTGGGAGGGCTGTGAGAATTAAAACCAGCTGTAAAGTTATGCATTCGCTAGAAAGCGACAGCAGAAGCCAGGGCCTGCGCCCCCTCCCCCCCTCCAAGGCGCCCAGCGAGCCCTCTGCGTGCATCTGCCGTGCTGTGCTTCTCGTCAGGGGAGCTCTTCCTCCAAGGCCACCACGGCTGCTGCACGCTGCAGGAACACCACCGTGGAATCCCATACAGAGCGGATCCCATGAAGCACGGGAGCCACGTCTAAGAACAGCGGTGGCGCTGACATGGCCCACTCTCTTTCTTCAGCAAAGTGGCTCCCCAGGGGCAGATCTCTCCTGAGACCTGAGATGCCTCTGCTAAAGACACCCTCTTTCTTGCATTCACAACAGGGATACTTAATTTAGCCTTCATTTTAGGGCTACCACTGTCCTTGATTTACATTTTACTTAAACCCCCACCGGAGGACTGAGGTTTCTACTGTTTTGATGTAGGAAAACCTGGCTGTGCATTTTCACAAATACCTGGTGACTCAGAAGCATATTGTCACTAAGTTCTCTTCTGTGTACAAAGAGCAACAGCTACCTAAAAAATGACAAACAAGAACTCCGCCACCTGTAGACTCCCTCCAAATAACGAATTAATACAATCCTCAAGACACAGTCATGACAATCTGAGATTTCCCCTACGGAATCTACGATCGGCCACACCAATTTGTCTCTGCTCATTCAAACCACAGCAACAGTACCCACCTGCCCCACAAGGGGTGGGCAGGCTGTACAAGGAGGTACACCTGAGAGGACAAATGGCAGATGGTCAAGCCATGTGGCAGGAGGTTCTCAGGGGTCAGCTCCTGGCCACCACCATCGGCCTGAGCCAGAAGCCCATCCTCACTGACCATCTGCTCTGTTCTAAGCTGCCGCCACCCTCAGCAGCAACTCTGAGCCACAAACCTGCTCTGGAGCTCAAGGGAGGGTAGCTCACACCCAAGGTCGCGCACAGCGCCCCAGGACACACAGGGGACTCTTGCTTCGGCATCACAAGGTAACAGTGGGAAGGGACGTGGGGATGTGCTAGTTCCGCCTCACTCCATTGGACTCTCCAAAACGGGCAAGTGCCCCAAAAAATACAGATGACCAAAACCCAGTCAAGAAAACACAGAAAATAAAATTAGTCCTACAGAATCTTTAAATGAACTAGAGAGTCAGAAATCACCCCACGAGCTCAGACTTGCCTCTGCACCTCTGCCAAGGTCTCTGGGAACCGAGGCCAGGGGACCCGGCTCCCCTCCCAGCAGCCCTCATTAAGTGTAACTACCTTCGAGCTCAGACGAGCCTTTCTTCAGGGCTGACATGTACCTGAACTAAAGCTCGAACATCAAGAAAAGTCTAAGGACCGGACCAGAAAAAGCATGTGATTCCTGCAAACTAAATCCTACTGCGAACTGGGATGGTCGCCCAAACAGCTTCTGTGTGGAGGAGCAGGGCCGCAGCCGCCCTGTGCCCCCCACGCGGGTGTACCTCATGCGGGGCTCCTTTGAAAACGCTTGCAGACTGGTAGATGGTCTCAGTCCAGAGCCTGAGGTCTTCGTTCTCCAGCTCCTCCGCAGTCCTGTACAGAGATTTGGGGACCAGTCCGCCCTCGGGCACTTCACACTGGAGATGCAAACACAGCAATGAAAGACGTGCAGACCCGAGCGATTCCTCCAAGAACCTAACATGCCAGCAGGCGCCCCATCCCGACCCTCTCACCTCCTCATGGCTGCTCGGAGGTGGACAACACTGGCAATGTCAGAAAACATTTTGTAGGACTTAGAAAATAATTTTTAAAAACCACTTAAATACATGTGACTTACTTTATATAAATGTGAACACATTGAACCTGATTTACCACAGAATTCACACTAGTATGTATGTGGTACTGGACTCAATTACTAAAGCTGGTTTATGTAAGAATTACAAGTATTTATACTGCACTGTAAAGGGAAAACATGTTCAGAAAAGAGTTTTACTTTCAGCAGCTACAGGCATTATTTTTATTATACGAAATTAGAGTCAAGATATATAAACAACAGTTAAAGTTTCATGTCTAACCCAAGTCAAATGATCAGTGCATTAACACCAGCCCAAAAGTAATAAAGGAGAACGTCTTCTTGTGGGTTTGCATGCAACAGGCTAAGCTGAATTAGAATTTGTGCATTTCATAAACGTCCTAATTGACCTTGATATAATGACTTAATACTAAAGTTCCTAAATTCCGAGTACTTCCCATATGATCAGCGCTGGGAGGCAAGTACACAGAAAACAAACACTAAGTCTTCAGCGGACATGTCACAGCAATGACGTCACGTTAGGAGAAAGCAGAAGGATGTGGTTAAAACCCTGCAGGCGCAGGGGAGCAGAGGGGAGTGCCGCCTCTTCCCACCGGCCTCAGCGGTAGTACAGAACTGAGGAGGAGGCTGACAGGCCAGAGTGCGGAGACCTCCACTGGCGACAAGGACCCACCACAGGCAGTGCCTGAGAGGCATGGGCCCGTTCACCCGGAGCCGAGCTCCCTGCCCCAGCCCAGCTGCTGCAACCAGGAGGAGCGGCGCACGGGCTCCTGCTCGCACACAACACAGGGCACTTCGGGGCTGCTCCGGATGTGGCCTCAGGCCCAATCTCATGGGCGCTTGGTAAGCTGGGCTCCTGCACTGCACTGTGCTTATGCCCACAGTTCCTCACAGCAGGCTCGGTGCACTGACTTCACGTGCTCTTTAAGCTCTTCCACCCAACCAGGAAGACCCTCGAAAGCTCAGCTCAGGAGCTAAATACGAGTCAAATCAAATGTGTGCACATCTCAAAAGAATGAATTCATTTACTATGGAGGATGATAGAGACCCTTTCTCTAATAAGAGCCAAATGTATGATGCCATGACTGCCTGTTGGCTTCATCTGTCACCTCACTTGTCACCTGGACCTCTCCAGGCTACAGTTTCCTTCACCCTCACATCAGGCAGCCATGGCCTAGAGGCTAAAGGGTCCTCAAGGAACTGAACTTCTCAGATTCCCTCTTCACAAGGACAGGATATAAAAATGGAAGCATTCACCTGATAATTTGGCAACTCAATGTATTAAAACCCCTAATTATATAAAAGAAAACTAGTTCCCTTAACTAATCCCCTTTAAAATGTTACCTGATTAACTGTCAAAGGGAAAAACCTTTCTGAGAATCAATTTGATTTAATACTTTATCTAATAGCACAGCTCCTCTAAAAGGTAAAAATCTGATTCATACAAAGCTGACTAAATCAAGCTGCAACTATGTTTAATTCTAAAACAAATTCCCATTAGTATTTAAGAATGAAAAAAATGTGCATGTTATCAACAATTACCTAAATGGTTCAATGTAGTTTGCCATGGATCAGATGCCAGCCAAGAAAACAAAAGAAAGGGAAAACAAATAATAAATATGGAAGCAACCTAAGCGTCCACTGATACAGATGACGGATAAAGACGTGGTACCTGCGTACAATGGAGTGTTACACAGCCATAACAAGAATGAGATCTTGCCATTTGTGACAAGACGGATGATGGACCTAGAGGGTATTATCCTAAGTGAAATAAGTCAGAAAAAGGCAAATGCCGTATGATTTGACTTATATGTAGGAACTAAAAAACAAAGCAACAAAACAGAAATAGAACCATAAACACAGAGAAGAGGCTGGTGTTTGCCATAGGGGAGAGAGTGGGGAATAGGGGAGAGGTGACAGGGATAAAGAGGGACAAACTTTCATAAAAAAAAATAATCACAGGGATCAAAGAACAGCAGAGGGAATACAGTGAAAACAAAAACAAAAAAAACAATTCAAACTCAAAGTTCTGAAAATCATCATGTAGCTCCTTGCCTAAATACATACCATGCACTCTCCGCTCAGGAAATCTGGAATAATCTCTTTATCAATGTAATCCAGCAGGCCTCCAGGACCCTGGTAGTCATTGCCTGCATAAATGAGGAACTTCCTCCTGGTGTTGTCATCAATGAACGGACTGACCTGTAAGTAATCAGGAGACCATGTGCAGTCATGCCGTGCTCTGCTGTTCAGTTTTCAAAGAGTCAAATTACAATGTGACAGTGTGAGTGGGCGGGCCGGGTGGGGGAAAGGGCGTTCAGCTTGACAGACTTTTTCTGTAAAGTCCATCTGCGTGAACACAGGGCACTCAGCAATTCCTTTCTCCATTAAACAATCTGAGAAATTTTACATCTTCCCATGCTTGCTGTGTTTTTTTACTAGCTAGTTAAGACTTGATGTCACAGACACAGCTATACAAACGCGTGCACATCTGCCTTCGAAATAGCCAAGAGTATATTGCAAAACAGCATGTACACCTACCAGCGTCCAGAGGACGGGGAATACCCTGGGGGCACGAAGAATCAGAAGGCGGCCCAGCGTCTCGGGGTAGTTGGCCTCCACCACCTCGATGGTACGCAGCAGGGCTTTGACCCCCGGCCTCCACAGGTGGCGCATGTTCAGGCCCTCCAGGTCCACCAGGCAGGTCCACGAACTGCAGGAGGCACAGGTGCATCCCGTTCAGAGGTGGCACACCTAGCACAGTGTCCTAGAGCTGTTTTTCTTCTCTGCTATTCTAAGGTCATTTCTATCTATTCCCAAAAAGAGACCATTTAAAAAAATTTACAGTATTATGAACTATACCTATACCCACCTGCATAAAGCATAGTGGATGAAGGCAGCAGGGCCAATTGCTGAAATATCACAGAAATTGGTGGCTGGTGGGCGGTAAGAACCTGCCTGACAAGCCCAGCTATCCAAGGTGACATGCCACCCTTGACTTGCTGGAGCCCTCCTACTGGAGCCACAGGCATGTGCCTGGCCCTTTAATATGCAGTCTGGCTGAACTGCAAAGAGCCATTCTCAGCAGTTGTTTATTGAGCCAAGCACTGTTTCAGGATCTGAGAAGATAGCAATGAACCAAAAACCCTCAAAATCCCTGCCCTCGTGGAACTTACATTTTAATGAACCAGCTATACCCTCTCGTGCCAACCTCTGAATCAGAGAACACTTCAAAACATTAAACTGTAAGTACGGTTCAGGAGCACAAAACACTTTTTCTGCACCCACCCCCCGATTCCCACCAAAAAACAAAAAAATCATCTGCAACCCTAGGATCCCAAGGAGCAGGTGTAACTGGGCAGCCAGGCTGATCCTTGGATCAAGGTGACAGCAATTCCCTGGGGCCTGAGATGCTGAAGTCCAGCAACTGTCCCTCACAACTGACCCCAGAACAGATTTATCTATTTTCTACCTTTTAGAACAGTAACAGTAAACTATTTAGATTTGGTTCTAAAAGTCAAATGAGATTTTGGCTAGGAACTAGAAATATTTTAGTCATTTTCTCCAAAAGCCAGAAGGAAAAACAAAGTCGCACATCTACCTGATAGGCCGACCAAAGACTTTTGTATTTTCTTCACATCGTCTCAGCCCTTCTTCATTTATGGAGAGAACCTATGAACAGAGGCCCGTGAAAATGCTGTGATCTGTCTCGGAAGGTAACATTGCCGCCCCAAACCCTGCCCCCAGCGTGAGCACTTACGTATCTCAGCAGGGCTTCCTCGCCGAGGGCTCTCACCAAGCCTTTGGTGTCCATCTGCCCCAGCCTGAGCACATAGAGGGGCCGCCCATCTGCAGGAAAGGGGGAGGAAAGGCGTCACGGCCCCAGTGTGAACACAGCTCTAAAAACCTGAACGGGGAAACGTGCTCACCCCTACTCTAGAAGTGCTGCAAGCTCTTTCCTGCTCAGAAGCAGCAGCTGGTTTCTCTGTACAGGCGCCCCCACCAACCTTCCCCCCCAAACTGCAAAAGAAAAATCAAAAGCCAACTATAGGAGCAGCTCACTTAGCAGAGTCCTGGGGACAGCTCTGCCTGGGACAAGCAGAGCTCAGCCTCTGGCTGTGGTCACCACTGGCCTCAGCCTGCTCACTTAAACAACCCAGAGGCTGAGCATAGCTCTGCCTTTCAACAGTACAGGGATGCTTTTTTAGTGCACACACAACACTTATAAAATTTTATTTCTTAAGGGAAAACATTTTTTTTTTTCATTTTGTAAGTTACCAAAAAGTTAATGACAAGCTTTTTTAAAAGCCAGCTTCACCAAGATAAATGAGAGCTTTCTGGAAATCCTTAGGTCCACACTAATGAGCACGTGCTGGCTCTCTTCTTTGTACCCTGAAATCTAATGCATGGAGCCTGAGAGGAACCTAATTCATTATGTAAACTCCCTGTCATTATGAGCCAACTACACATATGGAAGATCTTGGGGACCAAAGTGTACCCCTAGGGTCAGCAGTTTCTAGACTCCTACCACTCGGTGCCACAGGAGAGTGGAAGAATGGACAGAGATGGAGTATACTACTGAAAGGCAACCAAGACTTGTCTTTTGTTGTTACTGGAGGATCAATGCTGTCATCTTGACATAGGGACCAAATTTTCCTAGTATTTACCATCTGGTAAAGTTCACCTCCCAGAATACTCTGGGCCTAAACCTGTCTGTCCTACTTGCAAAATGGGTTTTGTGTATCTAAATCTTGTTAAAAGGAAGATTTATAAAAATTCTCTCCCAACATTTAATAACATACATTTGTTCATGTCTTATTACCAAATTTTTTAATCGTTTTAGGGTAAGAAAACAAAATTAACATATGCTTCCAGTAAAAATTAATAAAGCTACAATTAATCTGGAAACACAGAACAAGATTAAGTCAGGAAAACAGACAAATCAGAGCTATTCAGCTTTGAAAGGACCTGTTCAAAGGCGGAAGAGAGAATTCCAGAGTGATCCCTACGGCCTCTGTTTGTGATTCCACTCTGCCAGACTCTTCACCAGGAAGCAGTGAGCACGGGCACCTCTGGCAATGCAGGACTCCCTGCAAGGTGCGTTACAGTAAACAACCCAGACGAATCACACTCACTTAGGTCGTTCTTCATTTTAGGTGTATCACTGTCCTTTACTTATGTTTTGCTTACTCTTGAAAGTTAGAACTGAAGTTCTTCACTGTTTTGATGTAGAAAACCTGGCTATACATTTTTACAAATACGGCAGGGGTTTAGGTCATGGAAAAGTTCCTTTATGCTCCTGGAAAACTCTGCCTTCAAAGTGTCAGTGTTTTAATTAAGTCAAAACAAACTCTTTTTAACTGAGAAAGGAAGTGAATGAACTTGCCCAGAGCAGTGTGGGCGGTGAGGAAGAAGCCACCTCAAGCCCTCCTCTGCTACTCTATGGGGCGCTTCCAGGGGGGCAGGAGGGCAGCAGAGGCTGTGGTGAAACGGCGCCGACGTGTTCAGGCTGGGAGACGGAAGGGACGGTGCGCTCACAGGCCCCACTTAATTCTGCAGGAGGTCTCTAAGCACGTCCTGAATGCCCAGGTCACACGGTACCTTTGTCATGATGGTGCCAGCCTCCTGCGTAGTAGTCCTGAAGGACCTGGGGAGGAGTCCAGGTATCAAGAATGTAGTCTACCTGGTGCTGCTTTCGCCAAGTCAAAGACTGACACATGATCTCTCTGGCTTTGTCAATATTGAAGTCCCGGGCTCGTAAGAACCGAAGAATATGCTCATCTTTTGGGATCTATTAAGAGAAAGACATGTTTGTAAGCAATGTTAAAAGTTGCTAAGGGGGAACACCAAGTCACTAAGGGAATAAGACTCTAAAACTCCTACTTCTTATCAATAATGGGTTGCATTATTGTATTGTTTAAAGTCAGCCATTACCAGAAAACCTCCTAATGCTTTAGAAAATCAGCATTATTAGACTGAATATTCTTCACAGTATTCCACTTCAGTTTCAGCGAAGCAGAGAAAAGGAATAAATAATTTCTTAAATATCAAATGCTACAATTCATGGAACTAATCAATGAATTATTATATTACACTTAAATAAAAAGTTAAAATACAAAAACAGGTTTTAGCAGTGGTGGTTGTGTTACCAACACAGGACCCTTCTTTTAGATTCTGCATTTGGCCATCAATAGGTCAACTTTCTTGAGGGAAAAACAAGACCAGGACCATGTCTGAATCTCCCTCAGACCAGCTGTCTTCCTCCAGGGCCGTACTCTCACTTAGGCACACAGGAGACGAGGAGTGGGTGCAAGGAGAGCCCCACTCCTGAGAAGATAGCTCGGGTCACTGAGCTGACACCACCTGCCTGTAGCAAGGGCTGCCATCAAAGGGAAGTGGCGACAGGCATGGGTTCCAGCACCACATGGCCTGGCCTCAGAACCTGGCCCCTACAGCAAGTTCCAAGCTGTGCCTCAGGTCCCTCATGGGTGCAATGGGAGATGACAGCAGTGCCCACCTCCTATGACTGCTGGGAGGATTAATTAAAGATCTTAAGATAGTGTAGTACATGTTAAGTGCCATTATTACAGTGGTTGTGTTCTTGATAGATGACAGGAAATGGTCCTCAGATATGTGGGCTCGAGTAACCGAGACGCACAGAATTAGAAGGAAGAGACCAACTGAGTGCAGCGCTTAGCTTCCCTACGCTGAGCAGCGCCAGGAACCCGCCAGACACACCCACCTGCTCTGCTCACTGCTAGTCCATCAGAACGAGGTTTCTTAGAAAAATCTGGCTCCTTATCAGTCTAAAATTTTACCAAAAACCTCAGAGGCAAAGTTCAAACACTTTAAATCTCTCAATAACCTGTGAACTCCTTCCAAATCTTCTGAAAATTAAAATGTATGAACACTTGAAATATAATACTGCTTGTAACATTTAATTGTTTTCAAGCAAGACCACTCTGTAAAATCTAGAAAAATCCAACGAATTACACAGAAGGGCACCATAACTTGCCACGAAGGACTCGATGCCACACACAGACATAGACTCAGTGGCTCTGGATGGAAGGGACACGCCCCACTGTGGCAGTGGGGACCATCACCCCGGGGAGCATGCAGGGAGTGGGCCTGGGGTCTCATGGGCAGGGCCACTCCTCCCGGGGCGCCGACCCTCACTTTGCCCTTGTGGGTTTCCTGGAGCCACTGGCGAAGCCGGATCAGGCAGCTCTCCTGTAGTGGAGTCAAGTCACCCAGGTATCTCTTGATGTAGTCTGCATCTAGTTTGTCTAGAAAAGAAGTTACATGACATTATTTACAACACACGACACTGGAACCTGAAGGCTTCCAACGTCTTCGTGCTCAGGGAGATTAATGTGTGGTCCTAAGGCCTCAGAACTGAACGAAACCCCAGGGCTGGCAGATGTGAACCAGCCTCCCGAAGGAGCTCACGACAGTCTTTAAAGCACAGCACGGCCCAACCACAGGTAAACCTGTTGGCTCAATTATACTCCCTGACCACCCTCAAATCACCTCTATTTACACAATCTCTATACTATTCTTGACAGAAAAAAGGCACAGATATTTAATGACCATTACAGCTCAAAGTTACATAAAAAAGACTTACATGATACAAAACTATGAGAAAAAAGCAGTACATCTACACCTACTTTGAATAGAGCTATACGTTCAATAATACAATAAACCTTTTTTTAGATTTAAGGTACTACAAACTAGAATGCAATTTCAAAATAAGTATAGCAAAGAAAAATTCACAAGGTGGGAAAATAAAATGTATCCCCAAATCAATTACATTATCTACCACCTGCCACCTGTTGAAAGCTAACAAGTGGCATAGTTCAGCTACAGAGAGGAACGTATGGAAAGATGAACACCAATAGTTTAACAAAACCTGTTAGTGGTAGAATTTTCTCGTTTTCTGGTTTTACAATGGGCTTTCCTGTGGGAAAGAGGAAAGCGGTGCGGGTGCCTGTGTGACACGCAAGGAAGGCAGCAAGGCACGGTGCTGCCGAGCAGGCTCTGGAGCCAGACCCCGGGCCCCATCCAGGCACTGATGTTTATGAGCTATGTGCCTCCACACAAAGCATGGAGTTTCTCTGTGCTTCATAAACTCATGTACAAAATGAGGGTAATATGCATTTCCTACCTAAAAGGGATCATTATTAAATGAGTAGACATTCGAAAAGTGCCCAGAACAGCATCTAACACATAGAAAGCATAAAAAGTGTCTGACAATGACATAATTGTATGAAAAGGATTAGTTGTTACATTAACTAAAAAGAATGTAAGGTAATCATTCAGCTAAAATAAAGGAAAAACATTTCCTGGTCTCAACAACTTGATATAACCCTTCTTCCCATTAAAATAAGTTCTAAGTTCCTTCATTCTAAGGATAAGATCAAATGAATTTGTTATACAAGCTGGAGGGGAGGGGCAGCAAGTGATCAAACTGGCCTCTAAGTAATACACACACTTCCTGAGGAAACCAGAACAGGCTGAGTGGCCGGACGGGTAAGGACCCCGTGCAATTCACTAGTCTTGCTCTCATAATGAAGCATCTTTCAGACCCACCATCAGGGGGCCCCACCGCAGGCTCAGGGGCCCCACTGGGGCTGCCGAGCGCCTCCCCACTCAGCCCTTCTTGCACAGCAGCGTCTGGGGTGATGAGAGCCAACGCGGCCGCTTGCTTCTTGCCCTTTGAGGATGCCTCTGAAGAGGGCACAGTGGTCGGTGGAGTCCAACGGGGCACAAAAGTTATGCCTTCTTCTTCTAACTGACGGAGATAGTATTCAATTATTTCTTTTCCCTTGAAAACAAAAACAATTTTAAGGTTACTATACACTCAACATTCAAATTATTCATCCCTCACAAGTTTTTAAAACCGGTAATAGAAAAACTGAGTTACTATAGAATAATGAGTAAAAAGAAATCAACTGCCTTTGTGCGTTTTTCATAATTCTTTACTTCCTGTTTTCCAAAGGTCTAGGAAATAATATCTGAAGAGATGGAAAGTTTTTATATGACTAATTAAAAGCACTGGTGTTACCGCACTTACACTCAATATTTGCTGTGTGTCTCAATCCAAATTCTTTCCTATACCCTGAAAATAAAACAAGCCTTCAAAAAGCACCCATAATCACATGCCTGATACATTTCAAAATCAAAACTCCACAACAATAATGGGCGGCAGCACAGAAATGAGAAGGAAAGTCCTTCCACAGAAGAGGAAGTGAACAGTCCAGGCCCGGGGACCTGAGAGATCGCCCAGTAAGGGCTGCTGCCGGTACAGCGGCAGGGCTGCAAGCAGGCCGCTCCTCGCTCAGGCACCTCGCCCTTCCCCGCCATTCCAGCACAGCTGCCATGCCAAGGGGCCACACGCTTCTCCCGAGCCGCAGGGGCTACCAGCACTGTCCACAGCCCCTTCCCTGCTCTGCACTCCCTGGGATGTAAGGCAGGGGGACATGTCAACGCGTTTCCTCTTCAACAAGTGGCTGGGATGCCTGACTAACCCATTCCCAGCCTTCTGAAAAGACTGCCAGCTTGGATCAGCTCAGAAACTCCTGCCTGCTCTTGTCCATAATACCCCAAGACACACTCACTTTTTTAATGTTGCTGGTATATTGTTTCATTGCAATTTTTTCCACTGTACTTTCAAAACCAAAGAAAGATTTAATATCTAAACTTGCAGACTGTTCAAAACATGTCCAATCTTCATTTTCAGGGTGAACCTGCAGAAAAATGAGGAAACATTCCCATTACCTGTACTGACAACTGAGAATATCATTTGCCTGATCCTCAATCAACTGGTAGCAGAAAGAAAACACTCATTTTACTAATAATGTCATCATCATGAAAGTAGCAGATGGAAAAATTACAAAGAGGTTCAAAATCATGAAAAGAACCAAGTAACACTTCTAAAATATTCTAAGAATGACTGTAAAAAGGAGAGCTCCATTTTCATTCTTTGTTCATTCATTCATTCACCCTATCTACTGAGCAGCATGAACAAACAAAGATCCTACCTTCTGAGGCTTACAATCTAGCAGGGGAAGGCAGACCATGGGCCATAAATATCACAGGTAAGAAGTTCCATCATTGTTGGAAGATAAAAGCAGCAGAGAAAAGTAGGAGCAGGGTTAAAAGGATGGGGGGCAGGTTGCAGAATTAAATGGGGGTGCTCAGGGCTGGCTCTATCAAGAAGGGGAGATCTGAGCGTAGACTGAAGGAGAAGAGGTCAGGCAACACACAGAGATCTGGGGGTGGAGAGGGCACATGGAGCACGCAGGAGCTCCAGGGATGCGCACCCCCATGATCAGGGACAGCACTGCACACAGGAAGGCAGGACAGCAGAGGTGTGACTAAGAAGGACATCAGGCCTTTAAGCCACTGTTAAGGCCTCTGGGCTTTTTGTCTGAATGAAATGTAGAGACACTGCAGGGTTTGGGGCCCAGAACAGGTCTGCCATGATATGATCTGACATACTTTAAATGGATCCCTTTGTCAGTGTTGAGGATATACTCTAGGAGGGTGAGGGTAGGAGCAGAGAGACCAGGCATGTTATTGTCTGGTTATAACCAGGATACATACCAGGTTACGACCTGGCAAGAGAAGTTCTTGAAAGAGGTGGCAGGCAGTGAAGATGGCAGGACAAGTAAATGCTCTCGGCTCTGATCTAGCGGTGACAGTACCTGCAGCCCTGCCCCAAGCATTCCTAAATGTTAGAGGGGCTAGCAGGGGAGCAGCACACTAAGTACTACCAACAAGCAAACCAAGGCATCACGCGGCTACCTTAACTGCTGCAATAACGTGACCCCCTCTGCAGCAGACCACACCTGTTACCCTGCTGACTGGCTCATGGGAAAAGAGTGACAACAGGTGATGAAGAACTGCCCTCTAAGAAAAAGAAATGTACTGCATAAGCAATGGCCAGCCAACCCTGGGAAGCCACGTCAGCACTTGCTTGCACCTCCCGCTAAAGGCCAGACCACTCACGGTGTAGCAGCAGTGTTCACTGATGATGACCCGATTAGAAAACGTCTCATTACGGGCCTCGATATGCAAAGTGCGTTCCCGAGAATTCAGGGAGTTTTTCTGGACAAAGTAAACATAATCAACTCCTGCAATCTTTAAAAAAAAAGAAAGAGAAAAGGGGTTATAACACCCAATTTCAACAGAAGCTTTAAGCGCAACTTCATTAAGGAGTGTGTAGGAGGGGCGGGGGAGATGGGTCCGTCACCTTTTTCAACAGTCTAGGCGCGTCGACGTCCAGTTTGCAGCGCCGCTCTATGACATGGATGGCCCCATCCTCACTCCTGAATTCATTCACAGTGTCACTGTCCACAAACATCGGAATCAAAGGACATGTAGGGAACCTCCTTTCATAGGCCTGTGAATGCATTTTTAAAAAGACTATTTGATCAAAGATGCAACCTAACATTTGTCATTGATATCCCCCCCAGAATAAAATCATCTTTTTAATACATGTCACCATGTTACATCACAGTGATCTTCGTCTTTACATCTTAAGCTTTCATTTAAAAAGAAAAGGACCTTTGATGCTCATGGACTGGAAGACTCAACATAGTGAAGATATCAGTTCTCCCCCATGGACATAAGTTTAACATAATTACTAACAAAACCCCAGCAAAAAAAATTTTTTGTAGCTATGGACACAACTATTTTAAAATGTATATGGAAAGGCAAAAGAGGACTAAAATAACTAAAACAATTCTGAGAAGAAATAAGACTAAACTGGGAGGACTCACTCTACTGGGCATTAAGGCTATCTATATAGTTAATCCAGACTGCGGGACTTGGGAGAGGGATGGACACATAGCTAATGGACAGGGTGGGAACCATAAACTAGTCGATGCAACATGCCCAACTGATTTCTGACAAAAGTGCAAAGGCAGTTCAGTGGAGGAAGGACAGCCTTGCAACAAATATTACTGGAGAAAATGCACATCCACAGGCAAAAAGATGGGCCTCGGCTTAACCCCACACCTATGTAAACGTTAACTCAAAATGGATCATGGACTTAAAGTATTTTTGAACTGCTTAAATGACAAAATCACAGAAAGGAGAATGGATTAGTGGTTGCCAGAGATTAAAGGGCAGGGGCAGGAAGGAGGTGGTGTGACTGTGATACGGTAACGGGATGCGGGGAGACGTTCTGCATCCTGACTGCACCAGTGTCTACACCCTGGTGGTGCTGATGGGCTAGTTTCCCAAGATGTTACCACTGGGCCAGCAGGGGCAGAGTTCATGAAGCTCTCCGTATTATTCCCTGTGACTAATGTATTATTAATATATTGTGAATCTACAATTACCTCAAAATAAAACACTTAAAAAAGAAAGAAAAAGTCTTGCTATATAATTCATCCCCAACTTTTAGAAAATGCACTTAGACACCAGATTTAGTTTACTCTGTAGCAATCTGTGAAAATTACTGAATTAAAGGTATCGCTGAATTCACAGCAAAACCTAAGCTAGGCAATGGCTCACAGGTGCACATGAACAGGAGACCATGGAACATGGGATGGCAAGTGCTGGGCTGTAAGAAGGAAACCGAAAAAGGAAGCCCAGGCGGGGCTCAGCAGCTCTATGCCCGCTCTGAGGGCATGTATGTGACATGACGATCCTGTGAGAGTGAAGATATCACTTCTCTATTAGGCTGTATTAAAAATTGGGGAAGGGAGGAACTCTGAGTTCCCATTTAAATAAATCACAACCAAGTGCAAGTTTAAGGACAAAATTTATGGTGTTAAAAGAATTAATGAAAATGTGAAGCTGGCACAGACTGGTCTGATTTGACCTCTAACAGGGTAGGAAGTCATTCTGGAGCACCATCATACTGAAAAACCTTGCCTTTCATGGAAAAGTTTCCCCACGAACAGGTTTGACCATTTAAATGGACATAATACGCAGAGCACAAGAGCGGCCATGGAGGAGCCCTTAAAGCACCAAAGCAACCTATTAATGCTTCCAGCCAGGATTTTCACTACTGTTCCATACCAGGTAATTCTCAGAAGCCATTCTGTACATGTCTCATCTGCTCTCCACAACACTATAGGGTTACAGCAATCTGAAAATACTTGCTGTGTACCTGCTACTGATAGATTATAAGGTACTACGCTAAGCAATATGGGCAGGAGGTATGAAGGAAGGGAGGGGAAGATGGAACAGAGGGTTCAGGAAGGGAGTCAGGGAAATACACAAGAGTGTCCTAACAACAAGCAAGTGCCAGAAAGGCTTAGGGAGAAAGAGAGCACACCTGGCTTGGAAGGAAGGAAGTCTGGGAAGGCTTCATGGCAGCAGAGGCACTTACACTGGGCCTCAAAGCATGGGAAGGACTATCACAGCCAGCAATAAAGGGAGAGCATTTCGAGGTGGAAGAACCCAGCCACGCAGCTTCAGGGTGCATCCCAGAGGGAGGTGGTGGTCTGCAGTGGCACTATGACAAGGCCAGAAGGGTGAAGCGGGGACCAAGAACAGAAGCAGGGACCAAAAACAGCAGCAGGCCCTGACCTCCTGGAGCTGACCTGCTCCACAGGGGAATGAGGAAGGAGGGAACTCTAAGGTCACCTTTTCAGAAAATTCACACGAGAGTCATTCACTGGATGGTCTGGGAGGCAAACCCCACATGGTGACCAATTATATTTGCTTTTTAAATGTTCTTACTTTGGGAGCTGAAAGTATATTCTTCATATTTATCTAGTCAAACATATTCTGAGTCCTATTACTGCTATAATCTTGATAAATCACACAGTATTTGCCTCAGTGCATTTTATAGTAAACAACATTTAAGAAGTTTATCCACTGCTCATATATCACAGCTAAGTCTCAGTGAGGCCCTCAAATTTGTTAATGGTAAGCACTGCACACATGAACGACTCCAGAAAAAAATATAATTCGTTCTACACACTGACACTGAAAACTGTCTGCACTGACTCTTAAATTGTATAGCCTAGCCTTGAATTCAAAACACGGTAAAAACTTCCCATTCCCTGAAAAGCTATCCATCTACACAGACTCATTTGCACATCCACTTTCACCTCAGTTTGTCCCAACCAAAAGGCATTTAAGGTATCCACGTTAATGACAACTGATACAGGGAATCGGCTCCTTAACAAAGCTCTGCTAGTGTAAAAAGTGGCTATGAAGCTCCTATCTTCCTCTCTCCATGCACGTCACCCTGCCACCAGATGCTCACTCAGCCACACGGCAGAAACCAGCTCCCATTTCTCTTCGTATCTCCAGGAGAATAAGTACCTCATTCAATGCAATGCCTAAAACAAAGTCACTGTTCAATAACCATTTCTGAGTTACAGAATAAAAGCTTACTAAATAAACCAATGAATCCAATGTTTCACCTTGGCCTGTCTTCCCGAGGTATGTAAGGTCATGGATCCTGCATACTGCTAGCAGAGAAAACCCTAACTTTTCTCGAGGGTTATGACAAAGGAAGACTGCAAAAAGCCGACATGATTTTGGTCTCTGAAATTGCTTAGAGATACTAGTGCCCTGGTATTTCAACATGAACTACAGCTCCTTAAGTTTCTATACCCTCTAAAAAAAAATAGAAGCATTCCAATTTTATTAAAAATATTAATGTATGTTCTGGCTCTATCTGTAGGATGGGCCTAGAAGCAATGACACCTCAGTAGCAATGAGCAGACTTGGCATCCAGACCTTGGTTTCTAAATACCATTCCTTAATAAAAAGGAACCCATGCTCCTTGGAGAAATGGCCGATTACAAGTCTGGAGCAAGGCAAGGTCAAAGTGAGCCAGAAGCATTTCTTACCAGAAATCAATGACTAATGGGGACATGTCAAAAGGACACAGGAACCTGCCTGGAGGGGTTCTACTTGTCAATCAATTCTGGGAAAATATGAGCAAAGACGGTAAACCATTATCGTGTTACTCAAAAAAAAAAAATGGTGAGGAATTTTTACAGAAAATATCACCTAATAACCATGAGAAGGGACAACAGAATTAGCAAATTTACCATTGCAATCACCAATTTACAATGGCCGACTCAGGCAAGGACCATTAACAGATGCTACTGAAACGTAGTTCTGGGAGAGATATCACCGTCTCCAAGTACCATGCCGCAGATTACTAGTTACAAAGGGACAAAGGGGCCTTTATAATGGGAAGACCTAGCCGACATCACCTTAACCAAAGGACTGAACCTGGGACCAGTAATGGAACAGCTGGAAGTGATGCAGTGTCAGCACACACAACCTGTACGCCCTCATCACAAAGTGGTGAACATGAAGCTCGTGATGCGGAAACACTCAGACCCGAATTATGAAACAGTCTACAGAAACAATCGGCCTGGACTCTTAAAAAAGAAACGATGTCAATCTTGAAAGATGAACCAAAGAGCAGGGAACTGTCTAGAATAAAGGCAGTTTCAGAGACAGGCCTATCAAATGTGATGCTGCATTGGCTCGTCACTGGAATAAAGGCAGTCATAAAGAATATTTAAGGAAATGGGATGTACTCACTCTAAATAATATTACTCTAGCAGTATTTTTAAGTTTCTTGGATGTGAGAACAATAACAGGTACGTAAGAGAATATTTATTCTTGGGCAACACATGCTTTAGTGTTTAGAAAAAGCGTCAGGACCTGAGCAGCTCACTTTCCAATAGTTCTGCAAAAATGATGGAGGGGTGAAAGATAAAGGCAAATATCTGCTCAAAATGTACACAGGTGTTCATTACACTTCATCAACTTTTTTTTAAAATGTAAATTTCTCAATATAAAAAGTTGGGAAAAAATATTAATGGAAAGGTAACTTTGGGGGAAAAAGTCCACACCTAAAATAACAGTGCTTTTGCACCCAACTGATTAAATATGGCATTGTCAGATTTTACACATGAAGATTTATACATATTTTAGGTCTGCCCAATGCTCTAGCCCATGATGGCCAGCCAGGTGTGCAGTTCAACAGGGGTCTGTCTGCATCCTCCCCTGGGGCCTCTGCCTGGTTCGAGTTGTTTAGCAGCTGCGGGCCCAGAGCTCAAGTTTCTGGTTTTCAAGAGAAGCCAGCCATCTGGATTCTTTTTGTTGTTGTTGTTGTTATTTGTATTTTCTTTTCTTTTGGTATCATTAATATACAATTACACAAGCAACACTGTGGTTACTAGATTCCCCCCATTATCAAGTCCCCACCCCATACCCCATTATAGTCACTGTCTATCAGCGTAGTCAGATGCTATAGAGTCACTACTTGTCTTCCCTGTGCTGTACTGCCTTCCCCGTGCCTCCCCTGCTACATTACGTGTGCTAATGAAAATGCCCCTTACTCCCCTTGTCCCTCCCTTCCCACCCATCCTCCCCAGTTCCTTTCCCTTTGGTAACTGTTAGTCCATTTCT